TAAGAAGTTATATCAAACAAGGCTCATTTTGTAAACAGCAGACTCTTTAGGTTAATTTGTTGAATACCAAAGCTGTTATTTTTTTGTATATATGCTAATATGAAATATAAAAGGTTTTTCATGTCTGATAATTCTTTTGCATTTCAGTTCACTTTTTCCCTTTGGATTACCATATATTAATATTTTGTGCTTATTAAAAATTATTTATTAGATACAGTTCCTATGTCTTCTCAAATGAATGAATCAAGAAACTTTGAGTGGGTCAGACCAGAGGATATATTAAAAGAAGATACACCACTGTCCTCCATGGGTATGGAAAAATGATTATTTTAATAATTTTATACCAAAGCTGATCATTTCTCAGAACTTTCCTCAGTGCAAATGAATTATACTTTCCACTTGATGGTTATCACAACTTTGGACCTCCTATATTGTAGGACAAATCTAGGAACAGGATACATACATGTAATAAAGTTAATGAAATGATTATGATAGGCTACATTAAACATACCTGCTGTAAATTTATTTCTTTATTTTATATATTTATGCCCCAAAGTTTCTCCTTTGCTCCTCTGATTAGATATCCCCATTTCCTTAATCAATCCGCACCTTTACTTGGTATGTGTGCATTCCCTATTATATTTGTGGTAATTGAAAATGTAATCTCACTTTTGAAAACTTAACTCTATGCTTAATTAAACTAATATTGTATGTTTTCTTCAATATATTTGAATCATGCTGCTGTACTCAACAAAAAGCAGCAAACACAGAAGTCCAATTGTTAAAATATTATTTATCAAAGCTAACCCTTGGAACTTGACTCCACGTCAATTCAGCAGGAAGGTGTGGGTGATTTTGTCATATTCATGTTTTGTGAATTGTGTATCCCTTTTGCTTTTCAGTATTTCAGAATTTCACACATCCTGTTGTGCAGGTAATTATAAACTTCTATGTTTATCTTGAATTATTAACTGTGTATAGTATAGAATGTAGAACACATATTTAATATCTACTTTCCAAACCCATTCAGCCTATCTTAGACAGGAGATATTTTCTTCAAAAGAATACAGTGGGGACAACAGAAGAAAGGATATGCAAATCAGGT